AAAGGATGTAACTATGCACCTAGCTAGACGATCTGCCGCCTCGTCAAGCGCATCAACTGTGTTAATAGGAGATGTGTTCAGGTTCGAGGCAATTCTGCCCCGAAGATCAGCTCTGAAGGATGCCCAGTCGGTTTTAACTGGGCTCCTGAATAAGCGAACCTCGCCGCAGAAATTCCCCAACCCGAAGACAATGTGCCTATGATCAGACAGGGATGGCTCAAGGGACACTGACCAGTCAATAATCCTGTCAGCCATACCCGCCGAACACAGGGTAAGATCAATTACTGATTGGCCTATCCTGCTTAAAAAAGTTGGTTCTGAGCCTACATTTGCAACAAGTAGGCCGCAAGAAGCTATGTATTCTAGAAGTGACCTACCTCGGTTGTTAGTGTCCCTGCATCCCCAGGCCGTATTATGGGCATTGGAGTCGCAGCCTATCACGAGTTCAGATCCAGACTCGTGTGCGAGGTCGACCAATCTTCTGACCTCGGCCGATGGGAGCAGTCCATCGTCGCCCTGTGGCATGTAAACAGAGGCCAGCAGCAGATTTATGTTGGATTTAGTACATACAGTCTTAATTACTGTTACGTCCCTCGAACAAAGCTCTAGAACTGGATTACATTTTAGCCCCTCTTTAACCCAAATGCAAGTTCTAGGATGTGGTACAGATGCAGAGAAGATGCTACCCTTTATAGTTCCCATCCCCGCAATTCTAAAATTATTGATCCAGGGTTCCTGAATCAAGGCATAATCTAAGGACTGCTTAACCGTGCTCAGACAGAACACAGCCGTGGCAGCCTTACTGTGTTGCAGGTTCGCTTGAAGGACCTGAGTCATCAGAGGGAGCACCAGAGATAACTCTGAGCTGTATTTTCCCCAGACCCAGATAGATAATCCAGCCACGATCTTTCAGAACCTGCGCATTCATTTCATCAATAGCAAGAACAAGAATCTGATGATCATCCTTCCTCTTCCCACCAATGACGCGCCAGTCCTTTGTCGTGACACCAGGATTTTGTCGCTCAATCTGAACAAACACTTTAGAGGCTTCGACCTTGGCCAAGCGCCTGTCAGTGCGTAGGAGCACTTTGGTCGTGCGCAACAGATCCTTATAGTCTGCTACAATGACCTCCATACTCCCCTCACTTCCCAGCGCCAGCTTCGGTGCCACCCTCTTTAGCCAGTCAGTTGTTTCAGAATTACCACAAGTTACGACAAGAGCACCCTTCTCATGGTAAATTTTTTCAAACTGATGAGGAATGTTGGCGCCGTCATCACCAAACACCAACTCCATCAGTTTGTCCTGCAACAAATCACATTCCTCAACAGAGAATCTCGCATCGGGATAGGCCGCTGGAGCTACTGCCAACTTGTGACCCACAAGCTGATCTCTGTAGCTGGCCTTTCCTGCAACGAGTCCATCTGCTGATTGATTAGAGTTTTTATTTCTCTTAGAAGGAGGATTTTGAGACGACCCAGGGTTACTATCGGATCCGGTTCTACGCATAGGTGATACGCCTGAACCTTCCCCAGGAGAACTCAAGGACTCTCGCTTCCTCTTTCTCCACTGTCTGTTAGGGATCCACGTGCCCTCAGCCTTTTTCTTTTCTCTAACAGACATATTGTACTCAGTTTTGGTCATAACTGTAAAAGTGATCTCAGAGTCGGACGAAACATCCGCCAGAGATGGAGAGTCGCCAGCACTGCTGGTGTTTAGTGGCTTATTCAGGTCTGCATCTAACCTGTGGCAAAGCTCAAGCACATCAGTAGATGAATTGGGTGGAGTTCTTACTGTTAAGGAACTTCTCGAGAAGACCTCTGGCGAGTCCAGGATCTCCCCAGGTTCCGTCTCCATAGCGGTGTTCTGCACAGTAACATTATCATTGTTAAAGGAAAGCTGATCGTTGCCCTCCCCAGAATCCATGGGCTTGTCCTCCAAAAAGGAGGAGTGGGATTCCCCGCTTGAGCAGGTACCCACCTGGGGTAATGATTCCGTTCGTTTACTTTCAGCCATTACTAAAACAAGAAAAGCAAAAAAAAGTTAGCAGTTTAGCAGCCGAACCGTGACCCACTCACTACGCCTGCTAATATCCAAGACTGGACCCTTTCGGGGTAGGACCCCTCATCGTCTCCAGCTCAGTCCTGTCACAGCTGCACACATACCTGTAACAGTTGGCGGTAACATTAGCTATCTGGGCCTTGGCCGGATTGGTGATTGTCACCTCCGCCCAAGGCCAGTACTAGAGCAGCCGCTCCCTACCCTAGGGCTGTCTAGTCACGACACAGCCAGCGCTAGATCCGCTGCCTTCAGCGAGTGCAGAGGCACCCCTTGCAGGCTGTGCATAGCACAGTACGACTTTGCTGAACAAAGTCGACTCACAGCGGTCTTGGAGGAGGAGCTGTCATAGACAGCTCCCCCTCCCTGAGGAGCTTACGCTTCCCTCTCACCTCCCAGATGAGATCATCTAATGTCACGACTGGTCTAGGCGTGGGCAGATCAGCAGATGGCCAGGATCCTGAACAGCACAGCACCACACGCGCACAAGATGTTTTCATCGTCTGGTAGGAGACCCCATTTTTGCATGTTTGTCTTGCATTTTGGTACCTCGACCCTAATTCGATTTAGGGTCTTCCACACCGTGTAATGAAGGCCTCCACCAGGAGCCAGTTCCTCCCTGGCTGGTATGGGAGGGTTAGTCAACGTGGCCTCCCACCTTGCCACCCGATTGCTTGAGAGTGATCCATCCAGGACTCGTGTCCGTGATAAAAAGCTCTTTCTGGACCAACTATGACAATTGACTCCGCTTAAAATGTACAGATATAGATTTTTAATTCATATTTTTTCGGTTTTCAATTCTGAATGTTTTATTTCCAATATTTTAATAAATTTATGTTCATAAATCAAACATTTAAATTAATAAAGTGCGAATTAATGAGCTGATGCACCTGTCTCACCATGTGTCTGCCATGTTATCTTATGGGACGTCTGTCACTAAACAACACCACTTGCGACGTTGCCAATTCTACCAGGCCGCGGCCTGTAGTTAAAGGCAGCCGTGCCGGTGCCATAGTCCGACCAAACTTCAGTGTCAAGAAGGATGTTGAAGAAGTAGCTGCTGTGGTGCATTTTTATCGTAGGTACGTTAGTTAGAAGAAACGATCGATACTGGGTACATCCAATGTTAACTGTCAGGTATACAAAAGGGCAGTTTGCAACATTTTATGAAGAGCTAACGTCAATATGAAGACAGGGTTTTTTTTTATTAGGTACACAAAAATGTATATTAAAAGCTTTGATGACATAGAAAAGTAGCTGGTGAAATCTGTGGACAAGACACTTCATTGAGACAGAGTATAGGAAGTGAAGAAAAACAGTGTATATGAGTGGTGTATTGGTCGGGTCGAAGGCAAAGTCGGGGGTAGTGCGTCGTCCTATTACATTGTGTGCTATTTTTGGCTGCAACGACCAGCGGGTCGGGTCTGACCAAACTGGAAAACTTTGGTGCGCGCTGTTCCATTTATTCCTATTGTAAAACTGGTCGTGCCCGACCAGTCGGAGTCGTGGTCAAGGTCGGGATAGTGCGCGCCGGCCCTTATCTCCGAAACCGCGGAGCAATCATAAACATGTCATATGTTAACGGTGGAATAGTGAACATCTTTCGCGGTAGCAAGGATGTATTCTACATGCCGAAATCGTTAAAATCTCCCGCGAACGTGCGAACATTATCCTCCCCGGATAACTAATTGTCTTAGTATCCAGAAACATAGACCGTGGTTTGCACAAGCGCTCTCTATCCAGAATAGTCTGACAGGCTGGCATGGCATATCAACACTGTAAACACCTTGGAAAAGTAAAATTTGGGGAGGGCTATCAACGTTGTAATATTTTGCCACTACACTCTTCGAACAATTTCTCACCTGGTCAACAAGTGTGTATGTTTTAGCCAGTTAAAATTTTTGTTTGTTTGAACGACTTTCCCCTAGGGAAGAAGCTATTACCATAGACAAATTTTGTCTATGCTATTACAGAAGGCAGCATGGAAACACCTAGACCCGTGACTGATTTATTTCTTAATTTAGTTGTCCCCAGATGCCAATTAAAACCAGCCAGAGTGTGGTCCAATTTTGACGAAATTTATTGTGAATGTGTAGAGCTGAATAAACCGGACCAGCAAGAGCAAGTCAAGTGAACTTAGTTTCATAATTCTTTTATTGTCCGATCCATAATTTTTATATTGTGTGATTAGGACACCTATGTTCAAGGTGTATGTTTCCCCATAGATTAAAAGGTTTCCCTTACAACATGAAACTGTTTCTAAGGGAAAAGCATTTATTTCTATAACCTCAGAGTAATATTATTGCTCTGAGCTATAACAAACTTGTAGTCCCTTGGACAAATAATTACATCTTTTACTTCAGAGCAATTTTTATATTTATTTTAAGATATAACCTCGTACAAACTATGTCATAACATAATTCTGGATTTGACGTTTTAATAGAACCTGGCAAAACTGGGCAAGAAACTTTGTAAGTTGCAGAGTAGAGTACTATTCTATTCTCTAAGCCAGGTGTCCGAAGGATTTTGTGATGTATATGAAAATGCACAAATAAGTACATACCGGTAATCAAATATAATGTTCAGAGCTACTAGCTCCTTATTCAGAAGTAGATATTTTCTGTTCTTGTCAGAGAACGTAAATAAAAATTATTTTACCTGTATTTTACTAAAATTCAAATACCTATATTATTCTATATTATTTTGATGGTTTGATACTGGACCTAGCTGTCATTTATCATTTTAATAAATGGTCTTGACTAATAAAACATTGTCTTAGTCAGTAACAAAGCTGTGTTATCATCTCACTCCATTATAATGAATTCATCCTTCACTCATATTTGTGTTAAGATACACACCTAGTTAGCTTCCCCAACTCAATAATTGATGTAATAAAAGCGGACAGTACAGGAATCGAGGGTAACATGAAATGAAAATCAACAAATCCTCCATAAGCATCAGTTGTATTGACAATATCGACATATAAGAAAAGAAGCATGAACAGAGCTATTCACTGGTAAAGTAGTAATTTATACCTTTCACTGCGTAAACGATGTTGACTTTGTAAAATCTACAAGAATAAACAAACTGGCTCACCCTTTCATTGATAAAAATATACCAGCTTCACCAGTTAAGGCAATCTCATTCTACTAACATACACTTATGTAGTGGTTAAAGAACCAATCACAGCGAAATACATCTCGTAGGAAGGTACGGTTCAGTGGTGGGCCCCCAATAATACAAAATAAAGTGAAACACATCTTTGATTATTTATTATCAACACAAATAAATACAAAACCATAACGTAATCAAATCGGTTATTATATAATGATTTTCATCGAAAAACAAAAACACTAAAAACACCACCGTTACAACAGTCTTTTCGCAACATCGTTATCAAATTTTACACATCTATACATCAAAAGACTGTTTGGAAGTTTACACACTTCTACACGCAGTAAACACAAAACAAACGGTTGGACGCACTAATGTGTCTATCGTAAATCCCCTTTCAAAATTAAACAAATGCACTGTCGTAAAATCTGGAGTATAAATCTTATTGTTAACAAATATAATCCGATACGTAACTATTATAATGATTCTATCTTTTAACTATTAACAAAATTATAATATTAGCGTTGAGATGGGTGTAGGACAAGTTTAAATGGCATCAATGTCCACGTCAACCTCGTTGTCGTCGTCTGCTGGTTGAGGCTTCTTTTCAACCACAACTTTGGTCTCCTTTAGAGGTGTTGCCTTGGCTCGGTCATCATATTCAATCTAGAACAGACATCATATTCATCAAAACTTATACAAGAAGTTTCTTATCTGGTGAAAAGACTAGTTTTGGTAAACTACTTAGTATCTGACATTTAACCATCAAATTATTTATCTCACAACTAATACAATTTGAAGATGGCATTACAGGAAAAATTAACTCAATGTAACATTATACAGGGTGAGTTTTAATTGTCCCCCCCCCCAACTTTTTTCTACATTTTTTCAAATATCAATCCCAGACCACTTCCAAACATTGTTGGGTAGTAAGTACTTCATTTTGACAAGGTGGTCATTTCCGGTCGCCATCTTGGATCCGCCATATTGGATACAAATTTTTTTTTCAAATGTAAAGGTGGGGTTGTGACCCATTATTTCAAACTAGATTTTTACCCTGATTACAATGCCGCAAACTGTTTTAAAAAATCTTGATTCATTCTAAAGTTATGAGGGCTTTTTAAAACTTTATTTTTAGCCCATTTTAACATTGCGCATTTACAAACTAAGACCATAATCTCAAAATAGTGCCAGATAAAGATAAGTATACACTTCCAGTGATTGTCAACCTTTTTTCACTTGGTTATTACTGATGTATTTTTTTCGGCCGCCATCTTGGATCCGCCATTTTGAAATGTGATAAATTATTTTAAATATGAAGGGGGCGTTGTGACCCATCATTTCTAACTACTTTTTTAAGCTGAACTTAATTCCATCATCCGTTTTTCATTTTCATTTTTTGATTTTTAAATTTTGACATTTTTTACAAAAAAATTGCAATATTTCATAAATAAAACTTGATAACAAAAAACGGATTGCGGCATTGAGTTTAGCTTAAAAAAGTAGTTCGATATGATGGGTCACAACACCCCCTTCATATTTAAAATAATTTATCACATTTCAAAATGGCGGATCCAAGATGGCGGCCGAAAAAAATACATCAGTAATAACCAAGTGAAAAAAGGTTGACAATTACTGGTAGTGTATACTTATCTTTATCTGGCACTATTTTGAGATTATGGTCTTAGTTTGTAAATGCGCAATGTTAAAATGGGCTAAAAATAAAGTTTTAAAAAGCCCTCATAACTTTAGAATGAATCAAGATTTTTAAAAACAGTTTGCGGCATTGTAATCAGGGTAAAAATTTAGTTTGAAATAATGGGTCACAACTCCACCTTTACTTTTGAAAAAAAAATTTTGCATCCAATATGGCGGATCCAAGATGGCGGCCGGAAATGACCACCTTGTCAAAATGAAGTACTTACTACCCAACAATGTTTGGAAGTGGTCTGGGATTGATATTTGAAAAAATGTAGAAAAATGTTGGGGGGGGGACAATTAAAACTCACCCTGTACATTTTATGTTAAATCCCAGTTTCAATAACTTAAAAATTTGTTGTTTTCTCTATTATTTCACTAGAACTTAGTATTCAGCCTATGATTTTCACCAGCTTGTGTGGCATCTTCAGAGGAATTCTATATTCAGCTCACTAACACTAAAAATACTGTCAATTATTTACAATATATTTGCACATGTTCCTGGTATGTTACTGGTTAGACCTCACATGCTAACATGACTTTTTGTGACTGTTGTCATGTCCCTATTCGGTCCAACACATGGAGGATTTATATAATTTTTATTTTGAGAACTCTTAAAACGCAACACACAAATAAATTGATAATTTGTGTTGATACCTCATACAAAAAACGTAATTAAAGCAATCATATGTTCAAAATCAAGAGCAATTCTTACAACTTTGATCTTCAATAGTAAATAATAGTTTGCTGAATAAAATTACACCATCCAAAAAGAAATTTAATTTACTTTAAGAATGATCAGTGAACACAGGTGTTTTAGTAAGAGCGCACGTAACGTTTATATCCCTATCCCTCTCATGTTATAGCGACGGCTTTTGCCACTCTACGGCTCCGTGTTCCACTCTAGTGCTCTGCTGGCTTTACCGCAACATGTGTATTCCTTTTAGTGTGCCCTCTTCTTGATATAAATCCTCCTAGGTCAAACTGTAATACTAGTGACATATGTAATTTTGTGATGCAACTGGTTGATACTCCACTAAAAAATCATACATAAACCAACCCCGCAATTGAATATCCCAGTTCTAGGAAAGTAGCAGGCCCTAGAAACAGAAAACGTGTTCAATATTCACAACCACACAGCCTTATTTGGCAGCCAGGAAAACCTACATTAAACCATTAGTTTTCACAATTGTGTACGATGTTTTACCTCCAGGTCATCCTCATCCTCTTCGCTGCTCTCTTCCTCTTCCTCAGCCTCCTTCAGCCAGGTGAGGAAGGGCTCTGCCTTGTTGTGTATCTCTTGGGACAACTCTTTGGTCACATACTTCTTGCTCACCTTACCTCCCCACTCCAGCACCACCTTCTCCTCCAGGATGTCCATGTCATACAGCATCTGTCAACACAACCACCATCAACATACTGTGGATACTAGGATGAACGGACAAAGCCATTCAAAGACAAACCCACAGTTAACTATGGCCACCCAAAACAAAAAAGTGTTCAACAGCTAATTCACTGATAAAAGCCCTTCCCAACTTGCAGTTTCTAAAAAATTAGAAGATTGGAATATTTCCACCAGATAACCAAATTCAGAGAACGCCCCGAACCTATACCTCGAATAATAATCCTACTTCAACGCAGCAGGTTTGCGAAAATATAGAATACTAAGTTATAGACTGGACAGCATATATTTATTCCGCCTTCCAAAACCAGAATGTCCTAAAACAACAAAAAATCTACTACTAAAGGAGCTAACAGCTCTGAAAATTCAGCGATTTTGAGTTTATTTGTGCATTTTCATTTATTTTTGTCAGTAAGGTAAACCTGGTGTTAAACCTCTCCATAGCCCAGACCTGAAGCCGTCTTTACCAAAACATCATTACCTTCAACTTCCTCTGGAAAAATATGTGTAAAGCCCTTGTATGATTGTTCTCTTTTTTCAGCTTCTTTTAGTTTTGGCTTAAGGAAATTACTGAATTTTTTTTAAAAGACTCATTGATCTTCCTTAATTTGCTCTTGTGACTTACTAATAATCCTATTGTTAAAAAGGTTCATCCCAATTAGGCTACCTTAAATATGATGGGAGACTTTGGCAAGAGAACGTCTTTGTGCAGTCCAATAACTTGTTCAACACCACCAATCAAATACTTCTGGGCCTTCATGTCGTCATGGGTGAAACGGAGCAGCAGCACACGGTTTTTCTTGATCTGCAACACAATTGCAGTATATGAACATTGTTGTCAGATTTAGATAAGATAGGCTATAATTATTGTATTGGCTAGGTAGATGTATTTGTTTAATGATACACAAACTATTGTTTGTTATATTGTCTGCTTATAGACAATAAATGATGAAAAACTATGAAACTTAAGCCATTCCGAGCTGGTGGAAAGAAGGTGAGCCAACAGTTGACCCGAAGGTTCGGTCCGGGCTGAAAATAATTTTTGGGTCAAACTCTGCTCAGGTCAAAGGTGTGCGATGGGTTTTGTTTTTGAATCCAGCCGACCTTTTACTTTTGCGATTGACTGAAAGCATCCTGTAAAAATGTATGAACAAACAATTTAATTGTGTGCGATGTACACGTTTTTGCTGCGATTGAGGAAGATGTTCCCGACTTTTCTGTGACCATGACCTGATTACAGCCTCAGACCCGAATGCCAAAATTTTTGACCAGACAAAGTAATACATCATAATTGTTGTCAAGCTGCTATGCAGAGGAAGGCGTCCAATTGTACTGTCTACTCGAGTACAAAAGACAGCTTATATGTGACAATTTCAAACTCTTTACCTCAATGTAATCAATACGCCAAGCACAAACAGATAACCTGACAACTGTCTCATTGTTGACAACTGGCTCACCTCCATCAGTATCTTGTCAGTGAAGAGCAGCTCGGCCAACACCAGAGGAGCCTTGGCCTTGATCTCCAATCTCTCTGCCTCCGCCACTAGTTCCTTGGCTGTAGCCGGCTGTTCCAGCAGTCCTGCGTCCTTGCGCTGCTTCACACTGTTGTAGAACAAGTCCATCCTCTCCTTCTCGGTCTTCTCCAGGTCATCTGTGATGGTCAGACCCTGTACACACGAATGACGTTTTTGAAATAGAAAATAAAAAGAGGAAATAGTTATTTAACAGCTAGTGAGTGAAGGACGCTTTTTCAAAGGAGATGAAAATGTCAAGTTTACTTTTATGTTTATGTTAATTTCAGTGTGAACTGATGTACTTTACCTTAGCTCCGTCTGTGAGATCTTGTAGTCTGGCTCGGACAGCTTCCTCTGACACGTCTACAGCCCAGTCTGTCTCATCTTCATCCTGCATACAACCAGATAATTACACTATAGCAAACATTAACATAATCTCATGGGCCTATAGGTTTGTTAGGCCAGGATTTTTATTTGTAGACTGAGAAGATAGCTTCTAGCTTACCTAAGAAGAAGTACAGGTAGGCTATTGAATACTCAGAACACACATAAAACACACAGTATATCATCCCTTGAGGGACTTAGGGGCTAAGTGTAGACGAATAAAGTCCACAAAATGGTTGCTGTAACCAACCTATAAATGACAAAGTCTTCCAGGGACAGAATATTTTGTTTTATGTGTCTTCTCTGCTTTTTGTGGCTTACCTGTACTTTTTCTAAGGTAAGCTAGCTAATATCCCTCAGTTATTGAAATCAATAACATAAACAGATAGATTAGGCTCTAGGTAGGTTAATTAGGTAGCTTAACGTAGGGATGGGAGACAAGAGTCACTTAAAAACTGTAGTAGTTTCCTTACTTACTTCCTGAAATGTAGTGTAGTTCAAAACACTAGCTAACTTCAAGGAAAAGACCAACTATTTTACCTCAAAATAAAACTCCCACTACACAGTAGACTCCCTCTTATCCGGACTCCTCGGGACCGAGGCCAGTCCGGATAACGGGTTTTCCAGTTAAACCGACGTCCCCAAAGACTCGTTAAAACAGACCGTTTAAAAACATACTGTATAAAGTATTTGACTTAAATTTACGAGAACATTGTATTTAAGACACGTGATTACTGGTCTCAAATCTTTCCCACAAGAACGGTCATTTCAGTACTGTCCACTTCCTGCTGATCAACTCCGGTTAAACTGATGTGCTGATAAAAATTTTCTGGTTAAAGAGATGTCATTTCTGCCGAGTGTAGTCTAGTTAAACCGATGTCCGGTTAAAAGGTGCCCAGATAAAATGGAGTCTACTGAATTGTCAAATTTAACAGGTGGTTAAATTAAAAGCTAGGAATCTTAAGAAACAGTCACCAGGACTATTTAACATGGAAATACAAAAATCTCATTGACACAACAATATTGTGACAACACATTTCTTAAGAGCCCTTGCTAAAGCAACCTCAAATGGCTGGAAGGAATTTTATGGAAAGGAAAAAAGTTAAACCAGCATATCTGAGAAAATTAGGAGTCCTTGAGTTTAAAGATGCACAAAACAACACTGAATTCTTTTCAATCTACTCTATAAAGACATCCTGTATTACAATCTACCCTCAAGGCCTCTTAAATTTCTGTACCCTAAGTCCCACGGTAAGCAAGCTGAACTATATTATAACTATAATTTCCGAAGAATGACCTTCAGTCCTCTTTCAGAACATTTTTACTAGCTACTCAATAAAATTTTAAAAACAACAAACAACCAAAACATTTCATTAAAATAAAACATATTCTGCAAACTAAACTATGTATGACATTTTGTTGACTTGTCACCTTGTGCACAGCTTTCTCAGGAGTAATCAGTTCTCCCTCCTCTTCAGACTTTGGTGATCCACTTCGCGGTTCTCCGTTCTCTCCATTGACTCTCTTGGACGAACGTTTGGCTCTCTTGCCTTCAGTCAAAGAGGCGCCTTGGGCGGCTGGGTTCAGATCTACAACACATACAGGATGAACATTTCCACAACAACTTGTAACTTTACCTGACTAAAACTTAAGAGAAAAGTTGTATTTTCTACAATAATTAAATATATGATAATGAGGAGTCAAAAAGCAGGTAAAAGAATGTTAGCTTTAAATGTCCATATTTTCGTGCTAAGTTAATTAAAATTAATATATGTCGGGGTTGGAACGAATATTTTGGCTAAAAATACCACTTTAAATGTAGATGATGCAAAAACCTTTCTCGGATTTGTGGTGGAAACGGCTTAGCGCTTCTAGTGCTAAAATGGGCTCCAAAACAAACATATAGGCTAAAATATTAAATAATCCATGGCAGACCTACAAACGTGTTTAATACTCACTGGGAGGATTTTTGAGGATGTAGGTGTTAAGCTTGTGGTTGAACTCGAGAGGTCCATGGAAGCCGCAAGCCTTACACCCCTGACTGATCGTTCCCTTCTTGGTGCTGACTATGAGATCAGTCTCAGGATTATCACAACCAGGACACAACACAAACTTGCGGATGAATCCGTCCAACAAGTCCTGCAGCTTGGCGGCCTCGTGGGAGCCGTTCACGATGAATCGGTCGTTCTTGAAGTCAAACTGAGTCTGAGCTCCCAGCTCACATCCAAAGTATTTGGTTGGGTCTGTAGAAAAAAGTTTTGTTAAGTACTTAATACAAGAGTTAAGAATAATCCAGTGTAACAAATACAAAGGTTGTCTTCAAATTAAGATATCTAATACAGCCAAGCAACAAGCAAGCAACCAATGTTGAGTTCATTTCAATTCAAAGATACTTTATTCACAGATATACAAAAGTGTACACATGAATGACATTCAGAACAATAAATAATACAAAATTATAATAACTAGTTCCCAACTTGATCCACTACTATTCTAGGTCATCACTTTTGTACGATTATTCTTGTCATAGTACTCAAAAACGTGATGAAAGAGAAACTGGCCCTCCTGCCATGAGTAAAATGCGTTCTTTGATCACGTTGCTGTATGAAGAGGGTAAATCCCTATTAATTAATGTTGCCCAGTAGATGTGTAGGCCTATGCAGAAGTTTTTCAACATTGGTGGTTTAGGGAATTTGTAAAAGCCTGCACATATTTGCACAACGGATGATTATCAATTTCCTACAAGACAGACAAAGCGTTTCGTCAAACTTTGCGCTGATTGGCATGTTTTAGAATTCCAGAGCTGACTGTAGTAGTGACCCTTGATATTATTACAAAGACGTCCCCTATTAGTGTGACAATCTCTTACTATAAGTCAAACCGTGATCTGCGTACAAAATTGGCAGCAAATAGCAAACACCAAGAAAAATATTGTTCAAATGTTTACTACCACTCTCTTTACCCCTTGTGCACATTTTCCACGCCCAAAGACCTTCATTTACTTCCTTTACACAACTGGCGAGTGGCGATGGGACTTCAAAAGCAGTGAACGACTGAGACTACAAAAATCTAATCTCAGAACATAATTTATAACTGGCTGGCGGCCTGTGGGAGCTTAAAATTTCTTTCACAACCTTTTTGAAAGCTATGATTAGACTGATCGCCCTATAGGGGTGGGAACCGACTGGCTACAATAGTAGTGGATGAAGTGAGGAAAACTACATTGGACATAGACTTGAACTAGCTTGCTTGGTTACGACGGGTTCTTGGAGGAGACCTAAATTTAGCATAGTTTATATTACATAACTTACGACACTGTAGTTTACTCACAGGTGGGTGGTCGGCCGATAGACTTGGCCACGTCGGTCATGTTGACGATGACAGTTTTGATGCCGTTTCCCTTGCCCTCGACCTTGGCCATGATGCGAGGCATCTTGTAGCGGTAGAAAGCATCACTGACGCTGCGGTTGACATTGACTGAGCCCATGATGGTGTTGTTGTTGTTGTTGGTGGAAGGGGGAAGCGATGGTTGGCTCTAACACTCCTCTCCACGACTGCGCTGACAATCACGTTTCTCTGAACGGCTGCGACTTCCTGTGCCGATTACTTGAAAATTTTGATGTCCTGCAAAAGAGCAGAAATAAAGGAATAAGAAACAAGAACGATATTTAATAAAGGACACACAGATGAATGAACACCAATGAAACAAGTAAATTTTATTCTGAACTGCAATAGGTAGGCCTATCATAACTATTTCGGCTATTATTCCTGGACCAACATACCATAATATCAGGACAAGGAATCATTGTATCTCGGTTTTTATTGAATAATAAACATTTTAATGTTAGCCTACCTTCTATCTTGTTTGCAAACTTGGCCAGGCAACTTAACAGGTTTAACATGTGTATTTTGAGATTGGGGATTAGATTTTTAAAGACCTTTGGTTTCGGTTTTGAGATTCATAATTTCTGGTTTTGACAATCGAATCAAATAGTAGGCGTACTCTTCATTTATTCCTTCAGGTAACCAATAAGGGAATATGAACTATCATCAATACTATCATTATCTTTTAAAAACTATTACATCTTAAAAGTATGTTTTTTACTAAACAACAAGGTTATTATTTTTTACTTTCTACTTTCTATACATAGTGTCTCAGAGCCTATATAGGGAAAGTAATATTTCTGTAAAAATGTTAGAGTTTGAGTTGTTGGTGGATATGTCTGAACTCAAAAAAGTGGTTTTTAAAGTGATCTCTATAAATGTGAAGAGCTAAAGACCATGGTCTAATTTTGATCAAATTTGGTATGTGGGTACTAGTCCTACTAGTTTTTTAAGAATTTTTTATTTTTTTAGTGGTAATTTTCCCATAAAGACGGAAAATATAATTTTCACAAAAATAACTCAAACAATATTGCTTAGTATTTAGTCTTTTATAGTCCTTTCAATTCCAAACAAAATGGTACAACTCCCTTCACTACAAAACTTACAGTTCAAAATGGTTTAATTTAACTTTAATTATATGATATTAAATAAAAGTCAATTAAATTTTGATTAAACTATTGTTTATGCATACTGTGATATTGAAATATACATTGCTATTATGACATGGATTGTATGACGTAAACTACGCAACAGTTTATAGCCCTACACAGACCCACTATTGAAGAGTAAAAATACCCAGTACAGTAAACTCTATGAATTTAGAATAGGTATGTCTAAAGTAATCCAGGGCTAAGTTGCGCAGATAATTGAAATAAACTAATTAGAATAGATGTAGCCTACTCTGGAACTTTGTCAGGGTTAAGCAAATTTTGTATTATAGGGGTATAGATTTATAAGGGTTTACTGTAGTCTATACTGTATATTAAAACCTAGAACAAAACCTCTAATTCTGGCAAAAAATAAACTAAATAAAGATGGACGGAACAGCCTATCACTGAAGTCGAGGAATCGGCAAACATTTCCATCATAAAGATATAACATTTTTGACTCTATAAGACTCCTTGATCTTGAAGTCCCAAGGATTTTAAACAGGCATATTTTGAATGTGTTTGACAACTTAATTACTGTGGGCCTAGTGCCTGAAAGAGGTACATAAAAAAAATTTAATGAAATTATTCACACTTACCTATAACTGATGGGCCACTGGCGCTTCGATGAACTCATACACCTAGTGACAAGGCCACGAATTGGCTCTACCGCTATGTGTAAACTCCCTGGCCCTCTTCTGGACAATGATAATGTTTCTGTAACAAAAACATAACTTGTCAGCCAATCATTATACTTACACCTTAACTGCTAGACTGACAAAAATCTTTGTGTTTGGGGGTTACAAAATCAGTCAGCTTCATTGGTGTAATCTTTATACAGCAAAACTTTAGTTGAACCGTAGCTTGTCTTGAAGGATTGCTTACACATCAAGCCTCGACACACATGGCGATTTGTCTGCGGAAACATTGTCTGCCGACAGTCTCAAGAGTGTTGCTATTTTGTCTCCAGTAAGTCGGCCGACTGATGGCCAACAAATTTTGGTGTTTCTGGAGACAAAATACAGTGTTTTCTGTTTCCCGTTCGAATGGGAAACACGGAGACAAGAAACAAAACTTTTGTCTCAAGTCTGCATGTGTGGACGTGTTTGGAGACAGGAGACTGGATACAAGTTGAAAGTGTTCAACACTCAGCCCATTTAGTTAAGACTGCAAAGTGGTAATATTACAATTTTTGGGCAGTATTAAAAATTTGGATTGAGTTTCTTGAAAGTTTTGAAATTAGTTTTCAATGATTTAAATCATTATATGATATTTTATTGAATTATTCATCTCTTCAAGTTTGAAATCTTAAGACCAAAAAGCCCAGCAAAATTTCAAAATCTTTAGAAGTCAACCTTGTTAAGTCCCTAAATCCTCCACCTGGAAAGGTCTGATAGAAGATTGTGACCATAGTTCGAACCTTGCTTGAGAAAATTTTGGGTCCGTCATCGTCTCTTCCTAGATTCATTAGGCCCATGGTCCAGAAAAATGAAGCCAGCACAGGACATAATTACGTCCTCCTCGGTCACCATACCAACAAACATGGAAACACTGGCTGGCTAGTGTGGACACAAAACACATCGGAAACTTATATCCGAAACTGTGTTGACAGACTGTCTGCCCAGTCCGCAGACAGTCGGCCAACTCAGTCTCCATGTGTGAACTAGGCTTCAGGGACATTGGTATGTTAACTAGCTCAGTTACATTGTCAAAACTGCCAAGGATCAACATTTGACAACACACAACTAACTACAAAACTATCTTCCATCTACTTTAGCTAGTTTGTATTAGGCTAACATTTAAGATGTTTGATTTCATCTAGTGAGCTACGGCTAGATTACAAATATTAAAAAAAAATCATAAACCTACACACTCCATCCAAACCTGGTATTTGATGTTCCTTAAAATTTAAGCAATTAGTAAATTTACATCAGATTGATCTTTAAGAAAATATTTAATTTTGTAAGAAGAAATTGTTTGAGTAATTTATTTGGCCGGGACTCTACTCCATGGGCCTCCACGTTATAAGATTCCGTTATTCTTATGGACCAATCTAACCTGTGTCACTTTAGAGTCCTTAGTAGGCATTTTTTATATTTTTATAATATTAATTGTAAAAAATGTTTAAAAAAGTTTATTTCAGATTTTATTCAATAATTAACCTTGTCAAATAATGGAATTCAATCTTTAAAAAATCTAATTTATATTAGGCGAAATGTACAAAATCGAGAACATAAACTAACAAGACTTTAGCCATAAAGAGTTTGCAACAACACACACGTTTGGAATTTATCAGTTAAGATAAATGAAGATACAAAATACCAGTACCCAAGAGACAACAGACACCCATTTTCAAAGAGGAAACAAAATCGGTAGAATTTGATTCCAATGATTTTTGAACATTCTCAAGCAACCAGATCGTGAACAGTTAGCTATAAATCCAAACCCATTTGATAAGAAAACTGGCAACAAAAATGCCTCCATCACTCAAAAGTATAGGCCAAGTTAGGGCAATGTTAACCAAACCAAATAAAAGAAAACAATATACATAAGGCAGCAACAAAACTGGGGAGAGTTTGATTTCACTGTTGGAATATTCTCGACGCTTCCAAAAACGGACATTTCTGGAAAACCCAAATCATTATCTGCTACAAAGCAAACTCTTGACAGACAAAATGACCAAAACCAGGTGAGAAAACACAGAAACACCCCGTTTTCTATGAAGAAAAAAAAACTTGGAAGAATTTCGATCCCAATTGAAACATTCACAAATCATCCAAAACGTGAGCAGAACCAAAATAACAATCCAAAAGACAAAACGACGATATATCACATTTCACAACGAAATTCACCAAAACCGAAACCTACTGCGGGGAAACATAGGGATCGATCCCACGGTAATCACACAAAACGTCCCCTTATAACTTGAAACGGCAACTCTTTCGTCCGCACTTTTCGCACATCCCGACGTCGTGGTAAGTGGTAAGTTAGATAGTTGTAAGTTACCTGGACCGGATAGCACCATATGTTTGATAAGGCGGGTTGATAAGCTGCTTGCGTGAGTACTGGTTACTGCTGACTGCCAATGCTGCAGCCCGGCCTGGATTGATTTGGCCGTCGCAGAAAGTGTGATCGATAGTGGTAGCGTCGGCGCGATACGACGTCGGGGCGCTGCGGCACCTACACCTACACCTACACTGTGTGGGTGGACGTTATTTTTTAATATAATAGTTTACCAAGTGTCACCTATTACTTAGGTAATAGGTTATTGAAAATAACGTATTATTTTGTGGAACGATGATCGTACGAAATGACAGAACTGAGATGAGAATACTAATATGTTTCTGATCGTTTCCCAGCGAACATCGCGAAATAATAGTACCTTGGTAAAAGATTACTGAGAATACCATGTTAATTTGTTACGTCGTATGAACTGTTTGTACGAACGAGCGAGTGAATGTTACTCGTGTCTTTCTTATTAACTGCGAAATAATAGTAGGTAAAGTAACAATTTGTGCACGACGAGAAATAATTGAATTGATTAATTATTTGTTAGGACGATAGGCTGAAACATTACTGGTAGAGCAATCAATAAGTGACGAAAATAATTAAAATATAATTTCACTTTTAACTTATTGCCGAGAAGCTCAGGAACTTTCCTGGCTATTATTGCTAAGTAACGCGGTACGCTACACCTACACACCTAGACTACAACGATCGGTTAACAAATCGTAAATTAATCACTTAAACTTGACGGAAAGAAATTTGCTAAGAGGCTACTAGGTATTAAATTTATTAGGCCTTAAATAGAGTTTTCACGGTCGTATTTGCTTACTAATTGTGACGTCGATACACCAAGTAAAATTTCGTGCGAGTAAAGTAAATTTTGGAAATTTACGTTATTTAGGACATTGAAATAGTTCCGGCACTTTTTGGGTATTGAAGAGATTTGTTTTGATCACGAACGTGGCAGATAATCACGATTTCGCCACGATGACGGAAGATTCTCGAACCGCTATTAAGAAGTATCGAGAATCGACGATCCCTTGATAAAATTGGTATCGTCGGAATCGGAATCGTCCCATCCCTAGGTTATTTTTTAATTGATTACAAGTTTTTTGTAGGCCCTAATTACAGTTTTCGTGACAGTAGAACATTGAGACAAGTCAAAGTAGCGTCCAAACCAAAATGTCTCAATTTATACATGGTAAACAAGGAAAAATTACCATATAGCACTTTTGTTTCAGTCAACTTTTGTTAAGAACCCAAGAAATTTATTGAGCCTTTTTTTCAACATAGACAATGTGTACTCTGATTGATTAACACATGTTTCTAAAGCACAAACCCGTGCCGCTACTGAAACATTGCACAACCTTTTAAGAGAATTTATCATTTAAAAAACGTTAAAAGTGAACAAATTTGGACGAGAACAAATGTCTATCAGTTTTCTAAGTAAACTACGAGGAAAAAGATACGTTTAAGGAATCATTACTGTCAAAATTGAACAAAATGCGTAAAAAACAGCTGACTTTAAGAATGACAAACCTGTCTCTAATACAAAAATTAACATTGAATTTGTTCGAATAATGTTACATTTAGGCCTACAGCACATTTTGTTACGGACAAATTCTTAGATTTACTACCGAGGCACAGCCCGTCGCAAAAAGCCACCTCATTTCATATTTAAATGAATTCACCTGAGGTTTGAACGAGTTGATAGATCAATACAACTTACAACAAACTAACTGGAGTGTGACGGGATGTACGAAGATAGCCGAACATGTTCATAATGAACGTTCGAACATGTGTTACTGTTAAATTGTTCAATCTAACACAAATAATGATTTCATCATTGTATTCATAACAAAAAAATGTAGCCACTATAATTTCGCTATTCTAAGTTATGTTCTCAATTAGACTCACTGCTTTCGAATAGCAGTTGTTTAGCATTAAACATGACGTAAAATGTGTACGCAAATAAAATTGTCTGTAGTATGTATTTTGTAAATTACGATATTGTTGTTAAACTACAGCATAAGGAGGGTACAAATCTTCACATTCGGAAATTTGATTTAATTTTGAAATATTATTGTTCTAAATGTCAAACGACATTTACGACATCCCCTCACGACCCCTAAACGACAACCCTTCATAAGTAAACCCAAGTTAATTTTCGTAAAAATTATTTCTTGTAAAGGGTAAACTCATATTTAAAATGCACGTGTTATTTTAACACCGAACAAACAACCGACTTTGTTTTATTTTATTTATTTCTATTATTACAATGCTGCAAAACAGGATAAACCCAGTTACATTGTAGCATAGTAGCATTGTCTGCATTTTGCGGATGGCTACATGACGTGTGCGATTTACCGTCAGTTTGTTCCTAGGCGTATATAATAACAAAACCAAATTTACTTATTTCTTTGTGGGTTTGTAAGTGCCTGTGCGTGGAACCATAGAGTATAGGAGTAGACAGTAGAGTAGAATAGTGTCTAGGCCTACTTCTTTAATCTTTTAGTGGAACGTACCGAGGTGAAAGCATACGATACAAGAATGAAACGTACTAGCGATAGCGCGCCGAAAATGTCCTCGAACATCGATGGATAAAAAATACACTTTTTTAAGGGAGGACCAAACGTATCAATTTCGTTACATGGTTTACAATACAATTTTATTCACATACGCTACTAAACCATGTTTTCATTACCATATCT